CATCCAAGGCTATTGAGGGAATTAAGAGTTAAATTAGCAGAACCCCCTAGCAAGGATCTTTAGAAAGGCAGTAGATGAGAGAAAAGTTCCAGAAGAATGGAAAACAGCACGTATTAGCGCGATCTTTAAGAAAGGAAACAAGGCGATAGCAGGAAACTACAGACCAGTAAGCTTAACGTCAGTGGTGTGTAAAGTCATGGAGAGACTAGTTAGGGACCACATAATAGAGCATTTTGTAAACAACAACCTCTTTACAACTAAACAATATGGCTTTATCAGTGGTAGATCAACTTCACTACAACTGTTAAGGGTATTAGAGGAATGGACAGAGGCATTGGACAGTGGACATGATGTTGACTGTATATACATGGACTATCAGAAGGCCTTTGATACTGTCCCACATAACAGACTGCTTAAGAAACTGGAAGCATATGGAATAGGGAAAGAACTTATAGATTGGATAAGGAACTACCTAAGTGGAAGGAAACAACAAGTATCCATAAACGGGGCAACATCTAAATGGCATAGCGTAACTTCCGGCATTCCGCAGGGGTCAGTAATTGGGCCGATAATGTTCGTCATATTTATCAACGATCTCCCTGATATCGTGAGCTCTACTGTGTATCTATTTGCCGACGACACGAAAATCTTCAACATAGTTAAGGGTAGGGAAGATAAAATGACACTTCAAAGAGATCTTGAGAAACTAACAGAATGGAGTAACACCTGGCTCTTAAAGTTCCATCCAGAAAAATGTAAACACATGCACATTGGAAAGAAAGACGCAGACCAAGACTTTGAGTATGAGCTGTTAGGACGCACTCTGGAGAAGGTACAAGAGGAAAAAGACATAGGAGTCATCATAGATGAACAACTCAGCTTTGACAGACACATAAGTGAGAAGGTGAAAAAGGCAAACTCTATTTTTGCAATGTAACGCGAACCTTTCAACATTTGGACGAAGAAACTTTCATTCCTCTTTATAAGACACTTGTCAGGACACATTTAGACTATGCGAGTTCGGTCTGGTTCCCTTTCAAATCAAGACACATAGAGATGATTGAAGGAGTACAGAGAAGAGCTACCAAGCAGATTCCAGGATTGGCAAAATTAAGCTATGAAGAAAGGTTGAAGAAACTAAAACTACCAACGCTGAAGTACAGGCGCCACCGAGGAGATATGATCGAAGTGTACAAAATAACAAGTGGAAAGTATGACCCATTAGCAGCAGACTTTATCAAGTTAAGGAGAGACCACGTTACAAGGAAGGGGGGATTCCATGAAGATGTTTGTACAGAGACCGAGACTCAATATAAGAAAATTCAGCTTCAGTGTTAGAACTGTCAGTCTATGGAATAGCTTACCAGAGGATGTTGTAAGTGCTAAAACTCTGAATACTTTCAAGAATAGACTAGACAACTTCTGGAAGGACCAGGATGTGCTCTATAATTACAAAGTAGACTTTAAAACCGAATACACCGGTAGTCACCCAAGTAGTAACAAAGCAAGTTTGGAGTCCGACGAAGAGGACCTTGACAGGACCTGTGTTGGAAAAATACCATAAGTAACCATAAGTAAGTAAAGAAAGAGACTGAGACCAGAAGCTGTTCCTTCTGTCTTTCCCTTTGCGTGTAAGAATGAGTTACCTAGCACAAGAGAGCAAAGATACAGTAAAAGAGTCAAGTGTGATACAGATCAGAGTGAAAATGTTTTTAGTAGTGAATGTGTGGTGAATGAAAATGTTCCTTGTAGTGAATGTGTTGTGAATGAAGTGGTGGTGGAATCAACGCAAGAAGTTAGTGTAGATTGTGATTCAGAATGTTATAGGCCTAAAAGTGATGAAAAAAATTAAGCTGCAAGATCTATCAGTTCAATGTGACATTGGGAAAAACAACAGGTTATCTATTGAAAAATTGCAGAGTAATGATAAAATGGTGAAATATTATACAGGTTTTGAGAATTATGACCATTTCATGATGTTTTTTCAAGTTCTTGGTCCCGCAGCACATGATTTGAACCTTAAGAGCAACTTACTTTCCCCTAAAGACCAGTTATTTTTAGTTATGATGAAACTGAGACAAGCAAAAGAAGACATTGAACTGAGTTATTTGTTTCAAGTTAGTGAAAGTACTGTTTCAAATATCATTGTTACATGGATCAACTTTATGTACTTTCAAAACATTTGGCCCTCTAGATCAGTAATAGATGAGTATATGCCCGATGACTTCTTTGCAAATTTTAACAAAACTAGAGTAATACTTGATGCCACCGAGGTACCAATAAATAAGCCCCAGAATGTAAATGCCCAAAGTGCTACATTTTCCAATTATAAGAACAAAAATACACTAAAGGTCATGATTGGTTGCACACCACGTGGCACTGTTAGTTATATTTCAGATGCTTACTGTGGTGCCACAAGTGACAGACAAATCATTGAACGGTCTGACTTTTTACTAGAAAAAGACAAAGGAGTATATATGATAAGAGCCAATTTTGGCCCCCTAAAAATTAACATTTTAGAATGACATTCAAATATGTTTTATTTATATTTGTTTTGTAGAAGAGATTATATTAGAAATATTTCCAATATATTTTTCACATTTATATGCACTCACTAGTTGTAAATGACATTAGAAATAATGCTATTTTTGCTATCTAACAAAAAAGCCAAAATTATGCCTTTTTTTGATGTTTTTTCTTATGGGAAACATAGAGCGCAGTGTAGAACATAAATAATTTTTCTGTCACTAATTAGTATTGAATAGATACATCTTTGGTAAAAATATAAATCTTGGTCTCGATTGCGCTCTATATTTTCTGAAAGAAAAACTGCTTGAAAATAAGCAGTTTTATACAAAATATGCAAAAATGGCGGGAAAACGTGATCTTTATGATGTCATATTTCTAAAATAAGGGCATTTTGATCAAAATAAAAATGACCAATAAAAGTCGCATATATAGCTGTACAAATTAAAGCTATATATAAAGTGAAATTAAGATATCCATTTTAAGGGGCCTATTGAGACACTTACCATATATCGCTCTTTCAAGACCATGACAGTATGATGGCTGACAGGAGCATCATGGTCCAGGATTTGTTTGCTTCTCGTAACATTCAAGTAAACACACCAACAATGTTAAAAGGAAAAAGCCAGCTTGAGGCACAAGATGTTGTCAAAGATCGAAGAATCGCCTCCAAGCGTATTCATGTGGAGAGGATCATTGGACTGGCAAAGACTTTTAAAATCCTCAAGAAAGAGCTTCCACAGGGAAAAGCTATTTTAGGCTCCAGAATTATTTTTTTTATTTGTTTTTCAGTACTGAATTTTAGACCTTGCATTGTTGACAAATATTCATAATAAAGAACTAAGATTCCAAATAATGGTGGATACATCAGTTTTATACAAAATATGCAAAAATGGCGGGAAAACGTGATCTTTATGATGTCATATTTCTAAAATAAGGGCATTTTGATCAAAATAAAAATGACCAATAAAAGTCGCATATATAGCTGTACAAATTAAAGCTATATATAAAGTGAAATTAAGATATCCATTTTAAGGGGCCTATTGAGACACTTACCATATATCGCTCTTTCAAGACCATGACAGTATGATGGCTGACAGGAGCATCGTGGTCCAGGATTTGTTTGCTTCTCGTAACATTCAAGTAAAAACACCAACAATGTTAAAAGGAAAAAGCCAGCTTGAGGCACAAGATGTTGTCAAAGATCGAAGAATCGCCTCCAAGCGTATTCATGTGGAGAGGATCATTGGACTGGCAAAGACTTTTAAAATCCTCAAGAAAGAGCTTCCACAGGGAAAAGCTATTTTAGGCTCCAGAATTATTTTTTTTATTTGTTTTTCAGTACTGAATTTTATACCTTGCATTGTTGACAAATATTCATAATAAAGAACTAAGATTCCAAATAATGGTGGATACATCATTTATTACATGCTGTACTAATGAAACATGATTCTTTTCAGTTTACTTACAATTTCATTATTCAAGCTAACATCTTCACATACCAGTTACATGTACTACTTCTCTAACTTTCACTTCCGATACAGTTTTTGCCTTAAAACAGCAAATGAATATATCTACATAATATCTAGACACCTTTATACATGTACCTGTTTTCTAATTATTACATGTAATAACTTCACAATCATTTCTCTCAAATCAAATGAATCTTAATTCCATGATGAATATTGAAAAATTGTTTTTTGTTATGATATAAAACAATATGTCAATAACAAAAACAGCATTAAACAATACATTCTGTGATAATCAATTAAAATATTTTGCTGAACTGCTGATCTTTAGAGCTGAAAAAAGGCTTTTCTATATGAAAATTGTATCGTTACCAGTATCTATATAAATAATAAATGAAATTTTTGTACATCATACATGTTTTCATTGACAATAACTTCAACTGCAGATTGATAATGACACCAATTTACAATTTTTCAGCAAGAAATTTTCTGTAGTGTTTCTTATAAAACAACTCTAGCTTTGGTAACATGCAACCACACCAGTAATCTCTCTCAACATTAATTTCTTCCAAAAAAATATCAACAAATGTGTATACAATAAAGAAACACTTCTCTTTTTTACACACATTAAGCTGCCCTTGCACCTGCATGTAATAATTATGACTCTGTTTCAAGTGCAATACACCATCATCATCCTCTTGCAAGAATGGGAAAAATTTATCTGCAGCAATCTTACAATCTCTACCCTTATATGGACATTTGATTTCAATAATCGCAATTTCTCCAATAATACCATCTGGCGAAGCAGCCAAATAATTATTCTCTAAATCTACAAAAAGGCCACAAGTCTTGACTTTAAAACCCGTTTTGTCTTGGAATACTTGTCTTGCCACAGCTTCATATTGTTGGCCATGTAGGACAGCGAGTGTTTTTAATTTAAGAGGTTTTAAGATGCTAGAACACAGCTTCAGTCTGTTGCGTCGATCGGTTGCAAATATCCCCAAACCTGGAAGCTGTCAAACGCCATTCTCTTTCACGGTGCCAAACTTTCGACAGGCTCTGTTTCCTCGTTCTGTGTTCAATGTGAGCGATGTCCCTATCTGATACCTGTACAAAAATTAAAAATTCTTTATACAGTATACCAAAGAATATCTTCAAATTCATCAAGATTCACCGAAACAATTTCTTCAGCTATTTTACAAAATATTTTATTTACCGGGTATATTAATATACCTTTTAAGCTGCATCTATCCAATATTCGGTGAATGGCAGGTCCAAGTAATCATGGTCTAATACTGCAATGTTGATAAATGCCTTGGGCTTTATGTACTTGAAAGCCAAATCTGCAGATGTTGCAGCACAGTAGTTGGTTACAATGTTGATCACGTAATCATTGTATCCAGCTATTCCTCTGTATTTCTGAGGCCTAGGGTCACTAAGATCTGGATTATATCGACAAGGCATGTCTTCAGCTTTTATGGGGGAGCCTGTAAAATTCAAAGGTTTAAAATAAGTTGGATGTTATTTTTTTTTAAGAAAACGACACTAGCAAATTCCATTTTATTCTATTTTAGTTTATCAAATATATACTCCTGTAGTGTTTTTCTTTACAAAGTCATATACTGAATATAAGTACTTGTGTAATTTAATATTTGCATAAATGTATTCATATAAAACTTTTTATTAATTTTATTTTCATGGTTTACTATAATCTACATTGCTTGGAAATTTTGGATCACATGTATCAATCAACAAAGTTTAATACTGAACACAAAAATATTTTGCATGCATGCGAAATAATCCTTCAAACCTTCGAAAACAACTCAACAAACTGTAAATTTATGAATTCATCTGTAGATCATGCAACTTAAAAAAAATGTGATACAGGCCTCAGAGTTAAAGTTGTATATATATGTTTATGTTTTAATGGTATCATCATCATCCAAACATTATATTGAAAATCTTTTTGTATCCCTGAAACTTGTGTAAAAAAACTAAAAACCTCAAATATTTTACATCCATATTGTCAAATTCACAAAAAAAAAAGAAAGAAGAAACATTTTTTAACACAGTTAGCTCAACTTTAAAAGACATTTTTGGTTTATGAAAAGTCTTAAGATTTTCTGTACATCCCCTAGGAATGGCTATTATATGTGTTTCCCGAAATTTCACCAAGAGCAAAACAACAGCAGCTACATGTTTACAGGTTCCATTGGGGCCCTTCCCAGCAGGGCATTCACAATCTGAATTTTTAATTTCATCTGTTTTTCTGTCAATTCTTACACGATAATTGTAAGACACCTGTTAAATATAGCCATATATTTTCATCCACGTAAGAACTAATTTTGACTGGCTCTACATTTACGCTATAAACACACATTGATTTCTATTTTAAATTTGTTATTGTTCATTTATTAAATAAAAAACTACCTTTTTCTTCATTGCAGCTCTGACAAATCCTGTAAGGAAAAAGTCCTCATCTTGACAGTTAATGCTCAGTGCTTCAACTCTCTCTGACTCCAGCAGTAATTTTCCTTTCACAATGGCCTTTGTATTGCCCATCATTTGTCTGTCGACTGCTTGTCTATATTTAAAATATCCTAAGATTTCCAAAAGAAAAATATGAATTTTACTCCTGCATGCTGATATATTTATTTCTGATATAAATTTAATTTTCATGACTGGTACATTTCATATGTGACATACAAAAGTTACACATTTCAAATACAAACTTAACTACCTAAGCGAGTTTCCCTTGATATCCAAATTCATAGTAATATTACCTTCGATATGGGCTTCTGTTATGTGTGGCAAAATGTCATAATGGCCCGATGTCATTTGTTTATACCCAGTAGTTGGCCATTCTACATCCCTTTCTGCTGGCAGTTCAATAACGGGACCGCTAAAGTTGAAATTCCGTTCGTATGCTTCCAACCTGCGTGAAATACAGGCCTATGTAATATGTTTTGAAGGCATGTTCAACATTGTTGTGAAACGGAAATTGGTTTTGTGATTCAGTTTCGTATAAAACGTTAGACCTATGATTTCGTCTAATTTCTTAAACACTAAAAAATATTAATTTTACAATCATTTAAGTAGTTTGTAGCTGCCTATGTACTGGGACTGACTGCACTGAGGTAACACATGCCGTGTTACAGAATCTCAGGATACCTCTCTGGTGACAAGCTTGTTGAGGCTTGACTGTCTTTTCTCTTGAACTTGTGATAAGACTGAATAAGGCACATAGTTTCGGGGAATATGCAGTGAGGGGTCACCAATATTAGCTATAATACGTAAGACCTGTATAAGGCAGTAGGCTGATGGAGAGAGAGGTGGCATACCACAGAAGTGGGGGAAGTGCCAAGATGCAGCAGTACATTTAGAGTGGCAGGACCAGAGAAATTCATTGCGGGAGACATCCGTTGACCACAGTTAGTGGTTGTCCAATCAAGAAGAAACCCATTGTATTTGTATATATTTGATTATAATTGTATTGGTCAACAGAAATCTGAGTTAACAGGTTAACGAACCTCGGTGATACAAGACAAATCACCACACTCCCAAGCTCGGCCGCGTTGCACGTTACAGTTGTCATTTCACTACGTAGCACCACATGACTCTGAATACCGTTATAATACAAGTTATATAAGGATTACTTCAATGAATAATGTTTGCATGTAATAAAATAAATGTTTTCTTACCTTTCTATGAGATCGGTTTTCCTTCCCGTAGTTACCGCGCCGCGTAATATTAATTCTTTTTTCAGTTTCGGCACTGTGTACGAAGCGTACGCCATGTTTGGTCGTTTCCCATCAATTTGTGGTACCCATTGATTCGTGGTATTTTCTTTTTCCGTCATTGCGCACGCGCAATGCACTATTCCAGAAATTTATTTTGAGAAATCGAAAGTAGAGTTCCTGATGTAAACAAAGGGGCATAATTCAACTAAAAAGACGGAAAATTCGGTAGGTAATGCAAAAATATACAAATTATGCTGATATCCATTTTGTACGCTTTTGGGTGACATACCTGTTTTCCTAAAAATAGCTAAACGGGTACGAAATAGTAGGTAAATTGATTACAAATGAATTTCCAGATGTTGTCTGCATGATTGACTGTCTATATCACGTGATGTTGCTGGGCATTGAATAAAGTATGGAAAGTTGCTAGTGTAATGTTTTTGTTTATATATGTAAATATGCTACAGTTGTTAATGAAATAGGAATATTATTTTTGTTTATTTGATAAGCCCTAAACATGGTACCTGATTAGTGCCCTTATCTTGGAAGTCTAATTAGTGTCCTAATTAATATGGCGCTTATCAGATGCTAAATGTATCCAGTGTCTTGACACCTAACAATGGTGCAGAGGCCCTAACACTTGGAGCCGATTGCCCTAATAGGTGCCCTAATGATGGAGCCGATTGCCCTAAGAGGGTGCCCTAATGATGGAGCCTAACGTCCTAACAGGTGCCCTAACGATGGAGCCTAACGCCCTAACTAGGTGCCCTAAATCACGTTAGGTGTCAGACAGGGTATATAAGGAGAGAGAGTTAGTGAGCAGATATACATAGCTTGGATTTGATTTGTGAAACTACTCTTGGATATTGTTAATACACTCGTTGAAACAAACTTTGTCGTTGTTCTTATGTTAGATCTATAAAGATCTAAAATTCCTATCTTCTACACGGGATCCACAATATTTTGTGACGCGGGTAGAAACCAACACCCCATAGAGAAAAAAACGTTACAATTGGTGGCAGCGGTGGGATCCAAAGAAGTTATTCTACGTGTAACACAGGAACGAGACAACACAGAGTTTGAGATGGAGACACCCATCGTAAGGAGGAGAATTACGCCTAGAAAGGTAGGACAGTACTTCACCAGTCCAGCTCCTCTGAATGACTCTTGAATAGAGGTCGATAGGGGGTGTAGAACAAGTTTGCAGCCCACAAGTCGAGTAATGCCAGACAGTCCTAACTTTCAGGAGTTCGGGCAAAGCTCGCAGGGCCTTTCTGTTCAAAATGAGTACAATCCAAGGCCAAGCTTAAAGAAAATCCTATTTATTTGGGTACTCTTTGCTTTGATGGGATGCTCCCTGATGGTGATGACCTGGATCTATTTTCCAGAAAACGAGATCGTGCAGGAATCTCAAGAAAATGCAGTAATTTCTCTAGTATCGATAACGAGCATGTTATTGCTTGCTATGATAATCAGAGTATTATGGAAGTATGGAGGATCAGGTCTGATGAATGCCAGTAAGGAAAGGGAAATTTCTTTGATACCCAGTGAACACCCTATACTGGTGGTAGTGCACCTAACGCCCCTAAAGGTACCTATCAGGAACCTAAAGATTTTGGGCCATCTGGATGCACCACCCCTTATTTGGGTTATCAGTCTCCTCATGGAATGGGGTACAATTTTGAATATCCCATGGCAGAAGGGACATCTAGAAACAGTCTTATGACACCAAATGCTGGTCAACGAACCAATGAATATCCAGTAAGGAGGACGTTCTCTGGGGTCAACAATGATGTGTTGGATGATTTTTTGCAGTATTTTGAAAATATTGCAGAACTAAACTCATGGAGACCCGAGAAATCCCGCAGAGTGTTGCTAAGCACTTTGCGAGGACAGGCCGAGAGCTATGCGTATGGAATGCCCTTTACTGTACAAAAAGATTATGAGCATCTTAAGGATAAAATGAATCAAAGATTCGGGCATTCTGCAATGAAAGAAAGATATATTGCAGATGTCAAATTAAGGAAGAGACGACCTGGTGAGTCCTTGCGAGATTTTGGGCAGGCCATCGAAGATCTTTACCGAAGAGCCTATCCAGGAAATCCAGATTTAGTGGAAGACAATGCAATACAGTCCTTCTTAGATAAATGTGGACAATCTGAGGATTTTCGACTCGCAGTGAAACGGACCAGACCCAGGACACTCCAAGAAGCAGTTCTTAATGCAATGCAAGAAGAGTGCTTGCGAATTGGGGAAAAAGAATTGCCAAAGGAGACAAAACCAGGCTATAGGCCTGTGTATGAGATTCAAGATGGGGAATGGAATAATGAAATAGCAGCTGCGGATACTGCCAAACCTCCAAGCTCGGGTGATGGATTCAACAGTATCTATAAAAATATGAGAACCCCAAGTACATGTACCAGTACAGGACCAAGGAGGAGGGGACGCCCTTACAACCCATGGTACCAGAGAGAAGGAGGAAGACTTCAACAAAGTAACAGTTCTCGAGACCATAATTGTGTTGAAAAGAGAACTCTCAGGAATTATTTAAACTAAAGATGACTGATGCCAGAGGCCAGGTGTCAGTCGGTTCAAGACGGCCTAAATACAAGGGGAGAAAACCCAAAACAGAAGTTGGAAAAGGAAGTGCTTAAAATACGGCGGGAGAAATCTGAAGACCAAAAACCGTGTAAACTACATGGACTTTTGATTTAGTCTAGAGACATTTTTTATTTGATATAATTTTGTTGTTTTACTTTTTGTCTTTTTATTGATTGTTTGGCTTCTGTCTAATTTTATTTTACATATGATTTATGTTCATGTTTTAAATATTAATGACAATGGAAGTCATGTTTCAAAAGGAGGACCATTGTAATGTTTTTGTTTATATATGTAAATATGCTACAGTTGTTAATGAAATAGGAATATTATTTTTGTTTATTTGATAAGCCCTAAACATGGTACCTGATTAGTGCCCTTATCTTGGAAGTCTAATTAGTGTCCTAATTAATATGGCGCTTATCAGATGCTAAATGTATCCAGTGTCTTGACACCTAACAATGGTGCAGAGGCCCTAACACTTGGAGCCGATTGCCCTAATAGGTGCCCTAATGATGGAGCCGATTGCCCTAAGAGGGTGCCCTAATGATGGAGCCTAACGTCCTAACAGGTGCCCTAACGATGGAGCCTAACGCCCTAACTAGGTGCCCTAAATCACGTTAGGTGTCAGACAGGGTATATAAGGAGAGAGAGTTAGTGAGCAGATATACATAGCTTGGATTTGATTTGTGAAACTACTTTTGGATATTGTTAATACACTCGTTGAAACAAACTTTGTCGTTGTTCTTATGTTAGATCTATAAAGATCTAAAATTCCTATCTTCTACACGGGATCCACAATATTTTGTGACGCGGGTAGAAACCAACACCCCATAGAGAGAAAAACGTTACACTAGTGTTAAAAATCAGTGTGTTTTTTTATTCATCATAACCAGCAGCCAAATAACAAGTGCTGTAAAAACTAAAAGATACTCGTCCTTCAAATTAAATTATTTTTCTCTCTTTTTGCATCAGGAATTAAAATACAAATAAATTCCGTATTAAATCCAATTTTAACTTTATAAATATTAATTCAAATATTTAACTGCTAATTATAAATTTAAAAAAATCTTTTCAAAACATTTTTTGCAATGCGGGTTATGTATTTTTTCTGCAATTATCTTTAGAAAAATTATATAAAGGTATTTGCAATCAACTAAATAATTTATGGAATAAAATTGTTATCTTTTTTATTAAGTAATTGTGCCCGAAATAACACACCATACCAATAACTCAGCTTTTGATGACGTATCACGAATCAATGAGACGCTTGATTTTTCTACAGTGGTGTAAACACTACACATTTTAAGGTGAATTTTGACACAGATAAGTGATGAAATTACACCAAATTTTTACTAAGCAAGAGATTAGATCTTACTATTATTAAATCACAATAAAATTAAGCTCAAAGTTTTGTTAATCGATTTTATTTGATTACGAATCGGTAAGCCTCCATATACGTCTCTGGTACCACGAATCCATGAGATACCAGGCTTTATCTAGAATACCTCATAGTACACCAGCGCCTCTAGCGGCGCAAGGTGGAGATAAGCCGTTGGCGGACCCCTTTCCGTCAACTTTCAGTGACATTTCCATCAACTTTCAGCGACCTTTCCGTTGACTTTCAGTGACCTTCTTTCTGTCGTCTTTCAGTGACTTTTCCGCCACCTTTAAGTGATGTTTTTAATCAACTTAGCGGGGTTTTTTTCACAAGCTTACTAGTTAATGATAAGATATTTTTCCTTAACAATATTTTGAATGAATTCATTAATTTGAGGTTTAATTGTCTTTAAAGTGTTTACTAATTAAAATTCTTAACTATGATTATAGATACAAAAATATAAATAAATAATTATTATAATCTTATTTTTTTTTAATGATACAAATTCAAAATGTATTTTTTAATTTTCTTATTTGACTTTAAAAAATTGCTTCGTGATTAAAAATATCGGTTGATCCGATGGTCGAATACAAATTTAATTAAATGTCGTGAAGTTTGTCTTATTTTCTCTTTCTGTAAATATCTAAATCGGTGATAAATATTCAATTAAATAGGCTATTAAATGTATAAGCAATCAGTCAATCTGAAAAAAAATTTAAGGTTTTAGTCAAAGTGCTCTTCGATATAAACAAGAAAATAAAACATTATTTTTGAAACATATATTTACAGCTCAAATTTACTAGTAGAATTCATTATTCTTATGTCAATCTAACACATTCTATCGTGCTTATGTATTTTTCATGGAATTATGTTTTATTGAACAATTATGCCTGATTATTAATTATTTTGCACCTTTTCTATTATAAATTTTGTCAAAACCGCGGGATAGTTTAGCTTTTGAGAGGCATCGTTTTAAAATCATTTTACATGAATTATACATGCCTCTTAAATGAAATTGTTTTAAAATTATTTTACTACTTTTCTAGATAGATAATTTACAACGATCTCATATCTTTGACACAGGAACAGGTGCCCGTCACTGATATTTGTCATAATCCCGATCAGAGATGTGTAATTAATCAGCCTGTCCCCAAAACCCGCGCAATTAACATAGAATATACAAAACAAGATATATACACATCGCAGCTTCTCGATACAACAGGTGATTCAAGTGTACCATCGATTTCTACATCTTTATTGATTTTAATTCATTATTAATCAGGAAGAAGTCGTAGAGTAATTGATAAGGTGACAGACTCTCGAAATTAGACAAATTCAATGCTTTTACACCAGGAAAAAGTGATATAGAATTTAATGTTAAAAAATAAGCTGATAACTAGTATTCAATAAAAAGATGCGACTGATTGTTAACAGAAAGGTCACTGAAATGTATGTGCCATTCAGTCGACTGAATGGTAATTGAATGATCACGGAAAAGTCACGGGAAAGGTACTTTTAGTGACCTTTCAGTGACCATTCAGTGGGCATTCAGTTACCATTCCGTCGACTGAATGGTGTAATTTCATCCTGTGTTATCTTTTTTTTCAGATGAAGTAGCAAAGTTTAAAAATGAAGCTATTCCATACAATGTTAAAGGTAATTTTTACAAGCAAATACAATGTGTAAGTGTTATACCTGGTATTGTGCTCTTTTTATGTCAAAGGTTTGGATTATTCTTATTTATTACATACTTAGTGATAAATACAGGATTTTGCATAAGTGATATGCCTGAATTCATAATGGTCATATTAGCCCTGTAGTGTTAATATGGATTTACAGGGCTGATACGGATCAGTGCCAAACCCCTAGTAAATTAAACCTCAAAAACAGCACTTGTAATCATACTAATATTTTTTTTTTGATTGGGGGGGGGGGGGTTACATATTCTCTCAATTTTAAATTTTTGAATGTAAGAATAATCTATTTTAAAAAATTAAAGATTATTTTCAAATTACAGATCGGATACATCTGAAATAGAAGAACTAACAAACACAAACTGTATAAGACAATAGACCGTGTAAGAACTGCGTACATGATTATTTACTTATTTTCTTTTCAACCTAATGAATATTGTATTTTATCACTAAGTATGTAATAAACATAATAAAACATACCCCTTTCCACATCACATCCTGTATCAACTCTCGCCTTCGGCCCTCTGGCTGATATTAGTGTCTCTGGCTGATACATGATGTAATATGGAAAAGGGTATGTATTATTTTCTATGTAAATTATTGACACTGTTATATTTATGAACAGTTAGAACAAGAAATAAAATATCTGGAGATAGCGAACAGTAGTCCAGCTAAAAAGTTCACAAAATAAAATATGAGCATAGCAAACACGTACCTCCAAACATCAAAACTGGGATCAGGTCCCACAAAGGAGTAAGCATTCCCTGTCAACAGTTCACAACCGCTGTGTGCTCCTTGTTATGATCGAGATATAACGGAAAAATCTGTCGGCAATTCGGTGTATAAATAATGGACTAACAAGTAGTATGAAAAACGTCATTCAGCATTTGACTGAATGGTAAATTGTATTTGATGACAAAATCATTGTATCGACCATCGAATTTACGGATTGATGACTTTAAACGAGACTGTTGATATACTTGTTTCCTCAAATTGCTTATCAATAATTTGCCTTGTTTTAGAAAGTGTTGAAACGTAGAGCATATTCTTTATATTTTATATTTATTTCTTTCAACACGACTTTCGTTTCCAAAAAAAAATGTTTGATATTTATTTGCAATTCTCATTTGTCAAAATTGATTTCTATTGAAAATACTATAGTACATGGTCTTCTATATGTAGCTCTTCACGAAAACGATATCATACAGTGGAAAAAAGAGGATATGGTATACTTTGAAACACACAACTTCTGCGCAATGCTGCAAAAAGTGAAGAAAAATTCTCATGTGACGTTTATTGGAGTCCCTGGATCTGGAAAAACGGCAACAGCACATCACATTGCCCTGATGTTACAACAGGAAGGATATGGGATTGTACCAATCAAAGACATCAGAAAGATAGAGGACTATTGTGATCCCAATAATCCACAGGTTTTTGTTATAGATGATGTGGTAGGTGTATTTGGACTTCAAGAAGTAAAAATGAACCTTTTGCTTGATTACCAAGATAGAATCATGAAGCCCACAATGCCAAAATCAAAAACCCTCATGACATGTAGAGAAGCAGTATTTAAAAAAGCAATTGAGTCAAATTCATTTTTTAAAGACAAAAATACTATTGTTTTCTTACATAGTGAAGCTTTTGCATTAACTATCGATGACAAAAAAGAAATACTCAAAAACTACCACATTGAAGAACAGTTGATGTCTCCTGCAAGTTTGACATCAGCATCAAAAATGTTTCCTTATCTTTGTAAGCTGTTTTCAACAGAAAAGAAATTCCAGTTCCATGGTTATGTATTTTTTCACAATCCAGTTCCATGCATCTTGAAGGAACTTGAGGAATTAGAAAATCAAAACAAAATTCACTATGTTTCTTTAGTGTTATGCATGATGAACGAAAACGAATTATCTGAGAAAATTCTAGAGGAAAGGGAAAATGAAGGAAACTTCAATGAAATCAAATTAACGGTTCTTCGAAAATGTAAAGTCAGTAGACAAACTGATAATTTCAAATTTGTTGATGCAATGTCAGAAATGGAGGGGACCTACACAAAGTTTTGTGGAACTCATTATAGCTTCATTCACGATTCTATGTTTGAAATTGTTGCATATCATTTTGGTTGTAAGTTTCCAGAAGTCATTGTGCAATTTATGAGCAGTAGCTATATTGCAAACTATGTCCGACTTCATAGATTTCAAACAGAAAAATCAGAATATAAAGTTATTCATCCGAGTGAGAATATTGGAAACAGTGTTGAATGTATGTTAGAAGGGAATGAAGTGTGCATTTATGAAAGAATACCGGAGGACAAAAACGTTACATTCAATGTCGGGCCATTTGATCTTTGTATAAAGATAAGACAGGATCTTTATCCAATGTTAGCTGAGCGTTTGTATAGAGATATAGAAAAAATGGAACTGCATGATGTTTTTATGAATAATGTTTTAAAACAACCTGAGGTTTGTGAGGCTTTCATTGAGGTGTTAAAGACGAAGTCGTATACAGAGTTGAAGTCTTTATTTCTATCTGTCCAGAAAGACGTGCCTAAGGTGGTGAGTAAAGGAGAACGTGTAACAGAGGAGAGTGAGAAGGAGGATAAGTGGAGCAGAGAGTGGAAAAGACAAAGAGTGCTGACGAATACGTGGAGGGAACCAGAGATAGTTTTTGGTGTCAGGGTTATTAGTTGGGTGGTTTACTATGGACACAGTCAGATCCTAAAGTGTATTTTAGAACAAATTGAAGTAAACAAGGAACCACAATCCGAACTATTTAATGGGAACTGTTTTAACCCTAATTTCAGGTATATGACAGGAAAGGGGAGGCTCAGTCGACATATTCATGAGCAATACCGCCTTTTACTACTAAGTTGTTACGGTGGTGATTTAGAGACCGTTAAGGTATTACTGAAATATGTTAAAAGACATTTAATGAACGAAATACTCAGAGATTTTGACGATAATTATGTGTGGCATGACACTCCACTGACAGCAGCATGTGAGAATGGATATATGAGTATAGTAAAGGAGCTGCTGGAGGCAGGGGCTGGTGTCAATCTTCAGGGTGAAGATGATACACCACTGATAGCTGCATGCAAAAATGGACATTTGAATATAATGAAAGAGCTACTAGAGGCGAAGGCTGAAGTAAATCTTCAAGGGGAGGGTTATACACCGATGGCAGCAGCATGTGCACGTGGACATTTGAATGTAGTGAAGGAGCTTCTATGTGCAGGTGCTGATTTTAATGCAGGAGACGACTATTCTACCCCACTTGAAACAGCATGCATGAATGGACATATTAATATAGCTATAGAACTGCTTGAGGGAGGTGCTGATATCAATTTACATCGTCAAAAAAATACACTTTTTGAGGTAGCATGCGCGGTTGGTCAAACAAATTTAGTGAAGAAACTGCTAGAAGCGGGGGCTTATGTTAATCTACAAGATACGCATAATACTTCACTTATAGCAGCATGTAGAGTTGGACACAGCACTCTTGTGAAGGAGTTCCTAAAGGGGGGAGCTGATGTCAATGCGCATGGTAATCATAATACACCACTGACAGCAGCATGTGAAGGTGGACATTTGAGTATTGTTATAAAACTCCTAGATGCAAAGGCTGATGTTAATTTGCAAGGTTACAATAAAACCCCATTGATAATAGCAAGTGAGAATGGACATCTGGGGGTATTAATGGAACTGTTAAAGGCCGGGGCTGATATCAATGCACAATGTGAGGAACAAAGTGCACTGACAGCAGCATGCAAGAGTGGACATATAGAAATAGTAAAGAAGCTTATGAAAGAAGGGGCTAATATCAATCTACAATGCCTAGGTAAAACCCCATTGATAGCTGCATGTAAATCTGGACACTTGGCTGTCGTGAAGGAATTACTAGATACAGGGGCTAATGTTAATCAAGGAGATGATATAAATTCACCATTGAACGCAGCATGTGAGGGTGGAAATCTAACTGTAGTAAAGGTTCTGCTAGAGGTAGGTGCCAATGTAAATTCAAAAGATTATACTATTGCACCATTGGCGGTGGCATGTAGGGTTGGACATCTGTGCGTAGTGAGAGAACTTTTTAAAGCTGATGCAGAAGTTAATCCTAAGGGTCATTCCAATACACCACTGACTGAGGCATGTTTGTATGGACATCTGAGTATAGTAAATGAATTACTCAAAGCTAAGGCTGATGTTAATCTGCCAGATCAATTTAATACACCACTGACAGCAGCATGTAGGCGTGGAAATTTGTGTATAATAAAGAACCTGATAAAGATGGGGGCTAACGTAAATCTAGACGAAAACAAATCACCACTGACAGAAGCATTTGAATATGGACGTATAAGTGTAATAAATAATCTGCTAGAGGACGAGGCTAATGTCATTCCACAAAAACAATATGAAACCCCATTGAGAGCAGCATGTGCGAATGGACATTTGTGTGTAGTGAAGGAGCTGATAGAGGCTGGCGCTAAAGTTAATCTACAAAATCATTTCACAACACCATTGACAGCAACATGTGAGGATGGACATCTGAATATAGTTAAAGAACTTCTGAAGGCAAGAGCAGCTATCAATCCACGTGGTCATTATTATACCCCTTTGACAGCAGCCTGTGAAGGTGGACACTTGTTTGTAACAAGAACGCTATTGGAGGCTGGGGCTAATATTAATCTACAAGATGAATTTAATACGCCACTAACAGCGGCTTGTAGGAACCGACACTTCCTTGTAGTAAAAGAGCTTTTGCAATGGGGGGCAAATTTCAATTTATCATCAAAATATTTTACACCAATCATAGCAGCATGTGAGGGTGGACATAGAAGAATAGTCAAGGAGTTGATCGATGCTGGAGTGTGTGTCAATCGAAAGGGTGAAAGTGATTCCCCACTAACAACTGCATGTCATAATGGGCATATGGCTGTAGTGAATGAGCTTCTAGAGGCCGGAGCGGAAGTTAATCGAAAAGGGAAAGATGAGACACCACTAACAGCAGCATGCAAGGGTGGATACCTACGTATAATAGAGAAGCTGATAGAAGAGGGGGCTGATATAAACCCACAAGGGTGCCATATTTCTCCACTAGCAGCTGCATGTGAAAAAGGACATATGCGTGTAGTAAAAGAATTGATAGACATAGGGGCTGATATCAATCTGATAAGTAAATGCAACACACCACTATCATCGGCATGTATAGGTGGACATATGTGTGTAGTGAAAGAACTACTTGAGGCGGGAGCTGATGTCAATCTAGAAAGTGAATCCGATACTCCTTTGACAGCAGCATGTGACGGTGGACATTTAAATGTAGTGATGGAGGTCCTTGGTGCAGGAGCTGATGTCAACCTACAAGATAAATTTAAAACTCCTCTAACAACAGCGTGCATAAAGGGAAACCTGGCTGTAGTAAAGGAGCTTCTTAAGGCAGGAGCTGTTGTCAATCTACAAGATATACATGATACACCACTGACGGCAGCATGTAAGGATGGACATTTAGATGTTGTAAAGGAGTTGATAGAGGCAGGGGCTGATGTCAATAAACAAGATTGTTTTGGAAACACTCCTCTTCACGTAATAATTTTACATCACACAAAGCTTGCTGTTCCTGCAGTTTTGATTCTGAACAAGTATGGTGCAGACTCCACAATCTGTAATAAAGAGAGTATGTCATCATTGTATGTTGCATTAATAGAAAACAAAGTGGACGTTGTAAAACAATTACTAGAAATAGAAAGAGAAGCTCAGCTGAATAAATTAAAGTTACATTTCTTTAACTGTTTGATTAACATAAGACACGGTGGCGTGATTTCTAATAGCAAAGATGATGTGGTGATAGCACAGCGACATGTTTGGCGTATAGAAGAATTTGGAAATTTATATGACATAATCTTTAAAAGTGAGTGCATTGTTCTGAAACATTTATTGGAAATAGGACTGGATGTCAATCAGTTGGTTCAGTTGTATGATGACTTTAACTATGAGTCTGATGTGAGACCTCTGCTGTTTTTTCTTATTGATGAGATGGTGATAGTCAAGGACAAAGTAGAGAAGGTGAAAATTCTTCTTAATGCCGGGGTAGACGTAAATATCAGGGTGATGCACACAATGTGTAATTCTGAGCTATATGTTGAAGAAGATGATGTCCTTGATTGGTTTAGTGATGAAGATGGAGATGAAGACCATGCTGATGTGTTGGATAGAGAGGGTTTGTCTGTGCTAGAGAGAACACGCCGAATGGTAAAGAAGTTTAGTTATAACAAGTACAGGTATGATGAGAGTACAGCGTCTGAGTACAAGATAGTGCTGAATGAAATTAAAAAGCATGTGAGACGATACTCTGTCTGAAAACTAAATAGTTTACAGAAGTTTAACTAGTCTAGCGGGTAATTGATATACAAATTGTATTTAATAAAATTTAAATTAGATTATATATAGTCTCAACTTTTGTGTATTTCTTTCTATAGTTTATGTACAAATAATTATCAAATCTGAATGAATTTTTCATAGTCTCGAGCCTTTGTCCGGAGTCCGTATCTCTCCTACCTGTGACTGCTTGGTCAAAAAATCTTTCGTAATCTTGAATATTTACGCCTTTGTGTTGTGACACCATGATTAGCCAATGCCAATATTTGCTTCCATCGCCATTGCAATCAACAATTAAAATTAACACTAAACAAGATATATTTCGTATAATGCGATTGGATATTGAAAGGTTTATTATCCAAGTATGATTTAATCTCATAGGTCATTTTTTAATGAGCAAAATTTCTTTCATTTTTTATAATTTTTATAAAAATTTTGTTTTTCATCACATTTATTCATTAAATACTATTGTATCTTTGAAATGTATCTACTTTTGTTATATTCTGCGATTGGATATTGAAAGGTCGACAAAGTTCATTATCCGAGTATGATTTACTCAAATAGGTTAATCTTTTAATGAGCAACGAAAAATTCTCGTCTCATTTTTAGATTTTGTATATACAATTTTGCTTTTCGTCACAATTATTTTATTAAATACTGTTAAATCTTTGAAACATTTTCTTATGTTCTAAAACTAGACCATGAGTTTATTCTATAGACTTCTAGTATAAAGAATCTATGAAAATGTTTTATAATTATCGCTTGCAAATGTTTCTCTGCAAAATACATCTATGTAATTGTTTTATTCTGTGTTTTACATGTTTCATTGTTATTATAATATGAAAGTAATTTATGAATATGTTATGTATCGTTGTGTGGAGCATTCCGTTTATACTTCTTGTTAATATGGAATGGATATATTAAAACTTATTTTTATTTTGGACGAAGATAAAGAATTATGAGTATATTATATAATGTTGTTATTAATAATTCATGAATACTTAACAAGAAATTATTCATTTACAGTTCATGAATAGCAAATTGGCGTCAATAACAACGAAAAAACTAGAGGTACTGTGAGCAATAAGCTCACTTAATAATACCCCCCGCCTTCCATATTGTCCATGTTTTGCTATTGTTTTACGGTAATGTGTAAAGAGGAATAACTCTGTCTTATCAAAGAACTATATGCGGTATATTGCATATATACTAGTCAAAATTTCTAAGTCCCCAGACAAGTTTTTGCTTTACACCGCTCTTATATTGAATTATTTTAACAGTATAATTTAATAAGTATACAGGATAATAAACTAGCAAAACAATTTTTCTCACTTGATTTTATTGAAGCGCTTTAACACAATATGCAGAAACGTTAAGGCACACTAGAATTAAAAATTCACAACGTTTAATACTGCATTATTCTCCATTCAAACGAATTCACAGCAAGACAACCGTTCCTCAAAGAGTTCACACTATTTGAGAAAAATTCTGTTATGGTTAAGGGGCGTTTAAATAAACGGAGAAGACGTCGACCTTAGATAATGAATAATGGAATGACCTGACTACCCTTGGAATAGACCTGTCCAAGGGTATATAAAGCGATGCTTTAGGGAAATCAGACATTCTGAAAGTCACGGTTGAAATCGGAAGAATAAAAGAGGAAGCCATCAGAAGAAGAAAAAGGGTAAGCTTAGAATAAGCACCAGTGGCAGGTGATCTAGGGAATTGATGGTAAGTTCTGGGTGCAGTAAATCTGCAGAAGATTGAGGCACTCAGTTCTTTCCTATCAAAAGGAACCTAGTGTAGAAACACGGTGCAAAAGCCAGACCCAGTCCACGTCTCTTGATAACAAAAGTTTAAATAAATTGTGATTTTCCCTCAGATAGAGCGGCCTTACAATTATTAGTCTAATCATTAACTCAGATCGAGTAAGAGAAAAAGCATTATACTGTACATATATCCCTTGTAGAACCCAATCATACACGTTACAATTCTTTTATTGAATGTTTTTCCAAGTGAAGACTAGGTCGTCTTCTAGTTCCGCTAGATTCTGCTGCTGGAAAAGCTGTCTCACTCTCCGGTCTATCTTCTTCCATGCATGTACATGCTAATTAGGGTTGAGATTAGGATGACAAGGGGGCTTATCGTAATTGTCTGTGCCTTGTCAACAAAAGTTACATAATGTCTTCTTACAAGTATTCCCCGCTCCTCCAGTTTGACATTGAGGGTGAGGGCACTTCCGGTTCCGGTTCCATTGATTTTTCCGGATAAACTCTAGAATGATTTTGTGGTGTTTGTTGAAAATCTAGCGATCGATTTCTAACGATTAAAAGGAATTTCGGTACGCTTTGTAGGTTTTTCGGGCAGTAATTATAAAGGTTTTGAGTAAAATAAAGTCATACAGTGAAAGGAAACAGAACTTTCGTTAACTACGACCAGCTAGGGCCATTTCAGCTTCACTTGCACATTGTTGTGTGGACATAAATCGCATTTTATTCAACCTTTTTTCTGTTTTTCGTTATCAATTAAAGATGGAGAACACATGGAAGTAAAAAATATGAAGAATACGACCGAAAAAACATATGGAACTCTAACTTCATGCTTTTCAACAAAAACAGTCACGGTCGAGTAATTACACATTCGATTACAATTTCTTCGGCCTTAACAGGTAAGTATTGCAAATTAAAGGCAAACTTGTAAGCAACTAGTAAATTGAAGTTAAGGTTTTTAACTTTTTGAAAAAATAAAGTGGGGACTTAGAAATTTTGACAAGTATATTTGCCCCCACAAAAGTCAAATTTTGAAAACTTCCTGAAATGTGCTGAATTCAATAAATTGTATGAGAAATATAAATTAACAGAAAATATTATAGTGTTAAAGCAGTGTATTCACAATTTTTGATTTTATGACGTCTAAAACTTGTCCGATTTTATATCCTTTTTCAGAAAGAGGGCAAAATGGACAAAATTTCAATAATTTTAGCTTTAAAATTTATAGAGCGCAAGTTTGTTCAGGAACAATATTGACATATTTCATTGATATTATCATTCTACACATTATTTCAAAATATTGATCCTGAACACACATGCGCTCGGTAACTTTTACTCAAAATATCGACGAAATATGTACATTTTTCTATAAAATTCATAAAAAACGGAAATTTACGTCATGTTTGTAACGTCATTACGTACATATGGCGTCATTACTTATGAAAATATTCAGTGCTTTGAAGTCAGCATATACATCCCTAAATTAAATAGATTTATATATCAGGTGCCATGGAGGAGTGAGCATCCCCTGCTGATCGGTCACAACAGCCCTGCGATCTTTGTCATGATCGGGAAATAATGGGAAAAGCCTCTTCAATTCAGTGTATAAATAATGGACTAACAAAGACTAACAATTAGTATGAAAAACGTCAGTCAGCATTTGTCTCAATGATGAATTGTGTATTTGCAGACAAGATCATAGTATCGACAAGAGAACTTACAAAATAATGAATTTTAAAGAGACTGCTGGTATTCTTATTTCATCAACTTGTTTGTCAATAATTCACCTCGTTTTAGAAATTATTCATACGTAGAGCATGCTCTTAAGTATCAAAACAACTGAGATATATAAATGTCGAGTTGAAGGCCCATCAAGTGTTTTCTTCTTTTCATGCATAAGATTTTGCACAAATTATGCTTCAATAGATACAAAAATAGGTATTTTAATAACGGAGCGCATTTGGTACCCATGGGAATTTCGAAAGCTTGTTGGAAGTCTATGGAAGACCTGATTCGTATCTCCAAAAACCACATAGATAGTGTCAATCAGACATTCAAGCACATGTTTGATGATAGCTTAAGAGTACTTGTGTGTGCAATCAGAATTTATTTGAAAAAAATGCAAATGACCAATGACATGTAAGTAAATATATATATAAGATCCATTTTTATATAAAAAGCAGTTGTCAATGATATTAAAAAGCTTAATTTATCGTGGGGCATTGCTGTGTATAATTAAAGTCGTAAGCTGTTAATTTTGGTAAAATCTTGCGATTTCAAATTTGTCCAAACGTTCCTCTGAATCTTTGAGTATCCACATCTAATTCACACCACATCTTATATACATGTATTGTTGCACAGTTCTCCTAATGTTTTTTCTTTAATACTGTTCATATCTTAATTAGTGAGGAGTAAAGGAAGATACTGACAGCGAGTACTACAGTAGGTCTTGGCTCAATGGAATTCGTTTATATCGCACGTTACAAAGAATAGAAATGCGACATTTAACAATTGAAGGGAGTTAATTGGAAAAATTCAAAAGAACGTTGGACATATCTTAACCAATCTGAGGTTTATGTATAGATGAGGACCAAACTTGTTCCTGAAAGACTTCGCCCTGGTGCAAAGGGTGTAGTCTCTAGATTACTTCAAATTTGACCTAGAAAACGATGTGCTGGTAAAAATTTCCATTCGTACGAATTACTAGACTTTTGCGAGTAGCACTGACTTTTACAGTTGATAGCTTATTACTTTTTACACTAGAGCAATGTACGGAAAATTTTTAAGATATAAATATTTACTAGTAGTTCACCATTTACTTCAACCAAAGTAACTGGTTATTTCAAGGCATAAATCAGTTGTTCTTACAGAAAACGACAACCACTCTACCCTCAACTCCTTCATATGAAGCCCCTAATAAAATCAGATGCACTAACTATGACCAATATATAGATATTGCATGTAGTTGAGTGTAACATTAAAAATTTTCACCCCAAGAAAACCAATGTCAACCGAGGCGCAGCCAAGGTTGACAATGGTTTTCGAGAGGTGAAAATTTTCAATGTTACACTCAACTACATGCAATATTTATTATATTATACTGAATGTTTTATACAAATACATATACATGTTACAGTGAACCGTGCGCGCATTAATTCTGCTCAGTCGCTTTTTTTTTTTTTTTTTTGAATATCACCCGTCGTCAAGCAATGT